CAAGACACCACTGGCCTTTGCTGCAAGGGCACATTGATGGCTCACGTTCAGCATGCCCACTAGGACCTCATGCCCTTTTCTGCAGACAGATAGTGCAAATAAAGTCATTCGTTTGCTCTAGAACCAAAAGAGATGGCATAACAATTGTAACAATTCCAATATTTTTTTTAGAACATGTATTTTTAGAAATAAAAAAGCCAAATCCTTTGCTGTTTGATGTATATTAAATTGAAAAAAGCTTTGGAAGTCTGCAATGCACTCCAATAGGGGTACCATTGCATTACAATTAGGTAGTAACACCATACTCTTCATAAGACTCTGCTTCAGTAAAGGTTTCTCTTATGTAAGGCATATTTTCTTCATGAAAACCCAAATCTCAAGTAAGTTTGAACGTAATGTCACGGTTCTATAAAATAAAGCCTAGTTTTTTGTGACACTGAATCTCTTGTTGAGGGCCATGGAAATGAAATTAAAAATGTCTAGCAAAGCATGAAGGCAAAATGCAAAAGTAAGCATGCAACAAATCCCAGATTCCTTTCTGGAGGAAATTATGCTGTGAGTGCAATAGTATCTCACACAAAATCATGGCTCCACATGTTCTTTTTGACAAAATCTCCATCTCCACAGGCTGCAAAGGAATGGAAAGACAAAATACATTTGTGATCACGCAGTCAGGAGACAAAGCTCTCCTGAATGTGCACCAATTTTTACTAAATTTAATGGAACTACTGACTGTTAACATTCGCTATAACAGGAATTGCCCAATAACTATAAAAAACAACATCAGTCAGTCCAATTGTATTTAAGGGGGAAATCTATGTTGTGTGTCCCCCAGCGTACTCAAGTGCTACGCTTTGCATCTTCATCGCTGGGTTTTTGCACTGCTTAGGCAGACACAGTAGGATTGCTGGGCCTGGAGAGACACATACGTTATTGAAGTGGCTCCCTGTCTGTGTCCTTGGTGCTCTCTCATTGGCAGAGCTTAGACAAAAACTAAGCTGGCTTGACTTCAGCCATTTTTAAATAGTAGGTCCTTGCAAGCTTGGCTTAGCTCGGGTGAATCAGGGACTGAGAAGTGACCGCAGAGCTGAGGGGGGAGTAGTCATGATCTAGGATTGAAAAATCTCTTGAGGTGCATATGTAAGATGAGTTTATTTCTAGACTGAAAAAGCAGCACTGTTTGTGTTTTGAGGATCAGTGACTACGGCCTCCTTCCCCAGGTCACAAGGTGCCGATCATATCTGAACTCAGCCTGTTGATTCAAATACGGTGAAGAGGAAAACTAAACCGGTTAACTTTGTATTAACAGGTTTCATGCTACATCTGTGACTACCTGTTCTTCTCCAGCAGACACAAAATGCAAACTCATCATAAACCACATCCTCCAAGCGCTGGGTAAGTTATCAGGTCACCACAACTGGTCTTGACTGGAAATGCACTGGATCTAGTGCTGACCTAGCCCTGAACAAGCCTGGTGCTGGTGAGTGTGCACGTCTGTGCACCCCGTCTGCAATTCCTCCTCTGGCTATACCAGGGATAAATACTTCTAAACTTCAAATCTGCATTGCCTTGAGACCTGGAGTATGAGAATTGCGAGTGTTTCGGTAGCCACAAGAGGGAGTCGGTGGAAAAGAGGAGACAAAGTAATTTGAGGTCAAATCCTTCCTTCAGACCAAACTGCCTTTGGGCTTTATTCAGACAAAACTACAATACACACAAATGACCATGGTCGATGAGTATGGGATTTTTGCAAGACTTGTGAAAGCAGAACTTGCAGCTTTTGTTAATGTTGGGAAAAAAAAAAAAAAAAAGACTGCTAAGCTGTGACAAACTATTGCTTTAGCTCTGTCTTTTGGCAGCAGCCAGCATTTCCCAGGGAAGCCAAAAAGAAATACTACTCTTTCATATATGTGTCTAGGGACATGCGCAGGGAATGAAACCCTAAAGCCTGCTGATATACCATCCAGATTTTTTTCCCTAAAATATTGAAAATATACATTATTTGAAGCATTTGCTATTCCCTGCTTGTTTCTCCTCAACTTTGGCACAACGACAGCTCTACACAGGAAGACTAACTGAGGAAACTCTATGTGTACAAATGATAAGAGTCAGCCAGCCAGCAGCAGAGATAAAACCACAGATTGTAGTGCACACATTATTACCAGCAGATGCTGTATAATTGTTTTTTAGCAAACAAGTTCAATGAAGCACCTCAACATTTTGATGATTTTTGAGAAAAAGCAAATCGACAGGATAAAATCTGATTGCATGAGGTGCTGACAAAACTCCACTGCAGGCAGCAAAATGGGCCTCGCTGGGCTTGGGTTCAGCCCACGGTTTGTATCAGAAAAGACAAAAGCGTGACCAAAGCGTGCTGACTGCGCGTGGTGTCCGGGGCTCCAGTAAGATGAGGGAGAGCACAAGGAGGTATCTGCTAGGGTTAAAGCAGCCGTGATGCTGAAGGTGTACGTTAACACATCCGTGGCCTTATCACATGATTGATAGCATGCGGCTGCCAAAGCAGAGATAAACGGGGGCTACAGACCTGTGGCTCCTGTTAAATCCACCTGTGGTATCTAGAAACATTATAAAGTCCGCATTCATAGGTCAACAATCCCCCTTTTTTCCAGTAACCTGCCAGCTATTCCAATTTGAAATATGGCACTCCAAAATGTAGTAGTTACACTCACTAACTACTGCAGTGAATAGATTGCTATTTAAAAAAAAAAAAAAAAAAAGGAAAATATTGTCAAGGATGGGACTTAATGGCTCTGTTATAGACAAGTATAAAATACGACAAAATGTCCATGAGTTTACTAAAAGCAGAGCTTTTTAAACAAATGCACATATTGGTGTAAGATTAAAAGGGCAAGAACAGACTACAGACTAATTTATAAGGACATGAGAATATTTCCAACCAAGGCAGCAGGTTCCCACGGTGGGAGTAGCGGCAACAAAAGTCCTAACTGAGTATAGGACACAGCTTGCCCGAGTTTCTGCAGTTGCCTGTTCCGACTCTTTTTCTTTGATTAAGTGCACCAAAGATCTCACGCGAGGCAAGATCCGAGACTTCCATCAACGATGAAAGAGCAGAGGATGAAAGATACAGCGCTCTCTGATGTGCCCTAAAGGCTCCCGCTTCATTATCAGAAAGTGCCAGCGACACAAGTGGTTGGTTACAGGACAAACTGCACCGAGCTCAGCAGAATCAGAACCGAGGAATCTCAGGTTGGATTCCCAGAAAAGCACCTACATCTAATTCTCTGTTCAGAACCTCCCGAACATTTTAGGACTATGTAAACGAGCATATTTTTCCTTTTTCGGTGCACTCTGCCTTGGATAAATTTCACATGGTTTTTTGAATGAAACAAAAAAGTGTCCTACTATATAAAAAATATTTCATCCGCAAGAAAGTGAGCTTACAGTCACAAAGCTATTAAACACTGTTGGATTAAGAACAGGACAAAATGTTATGCCTTGTAAAAACTTATGAACATGGGCTCGTGATTTTTTTAAAAGTGTCCTTGAAAGAATTTCTTAAAAAAAATATTCCCAGGTCAGGTTCAGACTGTGTTGTGAATGAAAACGTATGTGAAATTGGCTGGACACATATTCACACAAAAGTGGGTTTTACATCTTCAGCACCCCAATTTGAACAAAACAAGCCTAAGGAATGAAGGCCATTAGGCTTTAAAATAATTTCAGATTATAATATTAAAGTGTATACTTCTTTAATAAATTAATGTGTGCTTTTAGAAACATGTATATGATTTTGCAAAAGCTTCAGGAGCTTTTTAATTTTTTTTTTGGTAAGTGAATTCCCCTTCCCTTCACTAAACCCACTTACATGTTTAATGAAAAGCATGAACTTAAGTCTCTGCATGCTCAGGCCATGATTTTCCACCATTTCCCTTCAAAGGCTGCCAATCAGCTTTTTCATACAGCCCTGGACAACCGAGGCTTGGAGAAGTCTAAATGCAGCTTTGTTCCCATCAGCTCAACGTCATGAAAAGAAGAGGTGGCAATTGCCTTTTTGAAGACAAAGACCAGGACGGTTCTGTCACCCAGCCAAGGTGCGGGGCAGCCCCATGGGATGGTGGCTGTCAGAGGCTTGCTGAGGACACAAAATCAGGTGGCTGGTGCCACAGAAATGATGGATGGGTCCCTGCTGAGAGCCCCCAGCTGCCCTGGATCCTGTCCTGAGGAGCTGGGTGTCCCCAGTACCTGCAGGGGGACCCTCCTTAGATCGCATTCTGCTTTTCCCTGTGGGGCCAGGGATCAGGAAATCAGTTCTCAGCCCTAATATGCTATTGCAGACCTAGGCCCAGGGAATCCCCTTCTGCAGCAGAGGAGCGGAGGGCTCAGAGTGTTACAGCACTACCTGCTGCGATAGGCTGAGCAGGGACCACCGCTGGGTGAAGGTTTTGCCTGGGACTGCCGTGCTGGCACTACGAACCATCAGCAGCCCTCCGCGCAAGCTGCCAATGCTCACCACAAAGTCCTACCCACTCACTAAAAACATCTGTTTTGGATAACCCCAAAGTATTTCTCAATATTTTTCTAACATCTTTGTCTGTCCTATAACTCTGTGCTGAACCTTCTCCTCCCTCCTGTGTAGTTTTGGTTTCGTGAATGCAGTGTCACGCGTTACAGGATTTTTGGCAGATCAGCTTTACAGCAAAGTGCCTTCACCTCCGGGTACTCAAACCTGTTAGCTTTTATTTTAGCTGACTTTAAGAAGTTGCAAAATGTATTTATGATTGAGTTTTGACCTAGGATTAGTATTATTTACATTGGTTCTGCAGGAATTTTCCTTAAAAAAACCCCACCAGTTGAGCACTGGCAGTTGCAGTCTGAGTTTGTACATTTTGCTACAGGACAGAAGTGTTACTCCCCTGGTTTCCCATCCACAAACCTAGCGGATGCGGCCAGGGGAGGTGAGATCAAGCTCTTTTCTGTTCTCTTTTTGCACCTGTTGCACAACGGGGACTGCTACTTACCCCAGCTCAGGGTACCGCGCCATGACGTAGTTGTAGCATCTTCCCAGGATGACTTCTTTCAGATTCTTAGTGGTCCCTCTGTCCTTCCACTTCATCATTTTGGGACTGACCTCTTGCGTTCCGTGAGTCAGGACAGAGGCCAGCAAGACGGCGAGGACGAGGGCGGCCAGCAGGACCGCGATCCCCACCAGAAGGACGGTGCGTTGCCGCGTCCGGGCAGAGCCCTGCTGGAACGGCATGCTGCGAGGGCTCGGTGAAGAGCAGCACCAACTGCTCTCCCAGCGCGAAGGGAAAACAGCTTTCTAGCGTGTCACCGTGCGCCTCCCCCTCCCCTCGCTTCCCGCCCCGGGCGCAGCCCCGG